AGCGGTTGAGCGCTGGGTTGCGAAGCTGCCCGCAGCCTCTGCGGCGCCGGTTCGATCCCCGGCTGCTCCCCGGCCACCGGAGGAGGGTCCCGCATGGCGTGCAGACCTCTCCTGCCGCCCGCTGCTCCCCTCAGCAGTGTACTTCGGTCCTTTTGCCTGCTCTGCTCCCCGCTCTGGCTCTGGTGAATTCTCTCACCCTCCCGCACTTCTGAATGTACCCAGTGCTTGTATGTATATATGCATAAATCAATCAATCAATAAAAAAATAATAAGTTGACAAAAGTTATTAAAAGATTAAAAAAAAAAAAAAAAGACCCTCCACCTCCATGGGGCAATTTGTACCCTGGAATTCTCTCCTAGTTCTCACAGGCGCAGGCTGAAGCTCACTTTCAGGGAGCACAGTATCTCCCCTTCGCTTCTTTCCCCTCTGTATTCTGCTGCTTCCTCCACTCTTGCTCTCCAGAGAACACTCCATGCATAACCTTTCACAAAAGGCCTTAGCTTATCTTGTCCACATAAAAAACTATCTCAAAACGGATTAAAGGCTTGGATAGTAAGACCTAAACCATAAAATACATAGAAGAAAACATAAGGACAACAGTTCATGACACTGGCTTCAGGGGTATCTTTGGGGACTTGACTCCAACAAGAGTAACAAGCAAAAACAAACAAATGGGACTACATCAAAACAAAAGGCTCTGCACAGTGGAAGAAACTATCATTAAAACAAAATCTCGTACCATATGGGAGAAAAATATCTGCACATCATACATTTGACAGGGGGCTGATTGATATGCAAGAGCTACAAAGAAGTCACACCACTCAAGAAAATGAAATAAAAAACCCAATCAAAAAATGGACAGAAGGCTAAACAGAGGCTTCTCCAAAGACATAGAGATGGCCAACAGGCACATGAAAAATTGCTCATCATCGCTTATCACAATGAAAACCAAAACCACAGTGAGATACCACCTCACACCTGTGAGAATCGCCCTTTTATAAAAGACCAGACACAACAAGTGTTGGCGAGGATGTGGAAATAAAAGAACCTTCCTGCATTGTTGGCAGGAATGTAGACTGGCCCAGTTCCTATGGAAAATAGGTGGGAAATTTCTCCAAATATTAAAAATAGATCTACCATACGATCCATTTCATTCTTAGGTATCTACCCAAAGTATGCAAAAACTAATTCAAAGGGATGTATGCTCTCCTGCAGCACTGTTTAAAATAGTCAATTCACAGAAATGACCTAAGTGCCCAAGGACAGAGGAGTGGATAAAGAAGATGTGGCATATACACATGGTGGGATACTACTCAGTTATTTGCAACAACATGGATGGAACTGGACACGAGTACGTTAAGTGAAATAAGTCAGAAGAACGAGACAAATAGATGATTTCACTCTTTTGTGAAATATAAAGAAACAAAACAAAGGAAGATAAAACTAAACTCAAAACCAACCCTAGAAATCTGACTGCAGAACTGAGACTATCAGCAGGGTAGGGTGGGTGGTAGGAAGTGAAGCAGGGAGGGGGCTCAATAGAATACGGTAGAGCATTGAGAGAGTCATGCCTGTGTGTGTCTTAAAAATTATAGCCCACAATAGCTATAGTACAACTGAATCTATAAATATTTATGGTTATTATAATAGTAACCATCTTCCACTGCCTGTCTCTATATGCTAGACGCTCACATTAGGAGCATGCCATCGCTTAGCAATAATCCTTCAACGGCAGCATTACTGCCCCTACTTCGGATGTGTCAAAACTCAGCCAATTAACTTGATTAAGTTCTTATAACTAGGATAGTTTTGGACTGCAAGAGTCCATACTTCTTCCAGGACGGCATGTCATCTCCATCACTGTCAATCAAATGAGTCTTGCAATTCTATGATTGCCTGTAAGTTTCTTTTCTACTAAGGTGAGAACACAGGATAGAGGTTAGATATTAAGATCGTCCATTCCATTGGAAGGATGTTGGATTATAAGACTCTTGACCATATTTTATAAAGGCAAAAAGATGACAGAATTTAAGGATTAGTGAACAGCTCAAAATTGAGTGCCGTGCAGAAAAGCTGAAAAAATAATTATTCTGGAGCTCTAGAAACAAGTGGATTCTCAACGGTCTTCAGAGCAACCTTAAGAAACTTAAGGAACAAGTTTTCTTCTTTCATGAAAACACTTTTTATTATGAATCTGCACTATTAAAAGAGGTGCTTTGTGTTATAAATTGGTGAAATAATTTTATTAACACTGAAATAAACAAAATAAAAAAATCCTAACTTAAAATCTATATACCACAAACTCCAGGAGTTTAAGAAACACTAGAGCAGACTAGTCTAACTTTAAGAACCTATGAGGTTGTTTTTTCTGTAGCTAGCAAAGAATTTTGGGTTCAATTTTGGGGATTGCACTAGAGAAGTTAGAAAGCAGAGTTTGGCAGGAATTGAACTATTCAGAACATGGTAATAATAGTTCCACCAATCACGAAAGTTCTGCCATTAAAGCTTGATTAGTTAATTCAAAGCCCAATAGATAATGGATAGTATATTCTTGTGGGAAAAACCCTAAGGATGTTATAAATAAGTCTTTCTTACTGCACAAGAGACATTCTCCATTATCTAATTTTTAGAGTTCTGGTTGAGAATAAGTATTGAATCTTTGTAAATTTCTTCTGATGATCTACAAATAACCCCCCTCCCCCATTCTCCTCTTTCCCAGGAATATGCCTATACCTCTATCTTAGCACTTGGCATCTTTTACTGTGTAGTTGTGTTGATGACTTTCTCTTTTTGCAATCAGAACAGTTTTGCCAGAGGGACAGTCTTGTACTGCTATTTTAGCATCTTTGGAAAAACTCTTCCCCTATCTTAAGATCATGAATTTTTAAAAAACTCAATGTTATTATCATTCAAATATTTCCTGGATTTCCTCAGATAATTCCTGATCTGTCCTAATATGGTAAAGCTATTTCAAGCAGCACAGAATTCTTTGAGAACTAAAGTTTAAACATTTGATTTATTGTATACATTTAATACTTTCCCTCTCCATCTTGATAACTGCTTTCCTACATTACAAATAAATTTCCAGTATGTAATATTTACAAAAGATGAAAGGCATATAAAGAAAATTCCTATGAAGCTGTTTAATTTGCCAGAAAGGCAAACATCCCTCAATAAAGAGTCAAAGACACTGTTAGTTTTTATCCAAATAATATTTCATGAGTCCTTGATCCCAGAGGAAAGAAATATGACTGACTATAGGTGTACCTTATCCCTAAATCAAAGATGAAGTTGATAACAACTGCTAATAGTCCACCAAATACCTCACATAGGCCTACACAGAGACCTAAAACAAGGAAAAACGTTTCACTGAAAACATCCTAATAACCTCCTTAGTAACTAGTAAAATTAAACAGCACAAAAATTTTAGATGATGGTAATAACCATACCTATAAAAGTCCAAAAGATCCTGGTTTCCAATATAATCAGGTCTCACACTATCCAAAAACTACATACATACATGTATTACAAAAAGAAAAACTCCTACATGGTCACCTGGTTTTCACTATTACACCTGTTCTAGCAGAAGACAGTCCTGAAAGTACAAATGTGATCTCTCTCTCCCACCACCAAATACTAAGATCTATGACAAGTCTGCTATGTTATCTGAAAGATGGACTGAATTCCTGTCATCACCTGAAAACTCAGTGGGATTGGACAACATGAGAGGAAGTGGAGGGTGGTAGCAAGAACACAGAGGCTTCTCAGCCCATGCTTCCCAGTATACAAGCATGTCCAACACTACTGCTGAGATCCACTCTTGATCCATAATCTATATGTAAAGCTAAAAATTACAAAATACATTTTTTCCTTCTTTAAGTAATGAATGTCAAATGATGTAAGGGCAACTTTGCAAGACTTGACCAGAGATTCAGCAAGCCAGAAGAACTCCCTGGAGACAGACTCCATGTCTGACTGGGCTCCTATTTCTGTCCCTGCCAGAGGGACAGTCTTGTACTGTTATTTTAGCATTTTGGAAAAACTCCTCCTGCCTCTGCTTCCCGTGGGCTTTCCATATAGCAGAAATACACTTTTTCTGCAATACACTTTCATTGAAGAAACAGAAGAGTTTTTATATTGCATGTTTTGCAGTAACCCACCCAGCAATGATTTTGCTAAAACAGACACCAATTTAGCAATTTTCATTTTTGGTAAAAAAACTTTCTGTAATTAGCACTTGGTCTTCTGTAATTAGCATACAACAGTCAAAGTCTAGGTGAATATCCAACCATGTTTCATTACACTCCCAAAATAAGGTATCTCAAAAAAGAGGAAAAATAATTTATGATGAATAATGTTTGATGAAACATATCAGAAGTTGCTAGCAGAAATCATAAAAAAAAACTGATAGCTCTTTTTGAGCCTGGATGTCTTCCATACTGGCATGCATTTAAGAGCAAAAGAGGATGATCATAATACCACCACCACCAGGGTAACATGGATAAACATAGACAGTGTATCATTCTGTCCACATAGGGGAAAACTTGGAATAAGAACAATTCTGGACCTTCCTGGTGGCCTAGGGTTAAGTCTCAGTGGTTATCACTGCTGCGGTCTGAGTTCAATCCCCAGCCAGGGAGCTATGGCACAGCAGACCTCTCCTGTCTCGCCCACTGCTCTCCCCAGCAGTGTATTTCAGTGGCTCTGCCTGTTCTGCTCCCCACTCTGTCTCTGGTGAATCCTCTCACCACCTGCACCTCGGGCCTACACCCCAGTTCTTGTATGCATAAATAAATAAATCTTAAAAATAAATTAAAAATTCATACTATGCTTTTTATACTTCTTAGTCATGAGAGGTAAAGAAAAAGTTATGGTACAGTTTCCATATAAATACAGATTAGATCTTCAAGGTAACTTCCTCTGACACATTCTCAGAGGAATGAAGAAGATTCCAATTTAAAATCCTAATTCTAGTATACTAAACCAAACAGATACTCACCTCTGGTTTGGGCAGGAATGCCTGCCCTGGGATTGTCAAGATGTGCTGAACGTGGCAGAGGTACTGGGCCATGATGGACAGGCGGCTGCGCTGTTTGCTTCCTGTACTGGCTGTAAGTCTCTACAGGACAAAAAAGAGAAACTTCAGTAAAAAATTAATTTCATCTGACCCATTGATGGAATTGGAATGAAGTCAGCATTCCATTGTCTACCAACACTAGGTGGGTTTTTCAAGGCCCATCTTGAATGCACAGGCTGACATGACAGGTAGCCAGCACTGGGAACACTTTTCTCCAACATCAACTAAGGTACAGAAGTATGAGTTACATCACATGCAATGTACTAAAAAAAATGAAGAATACTTTGCTACCACAGGAGGCTGGCGATTTTCAAATTGCTGTTATATTTCATAGAAGATAGTACAGTAGTAAGTAGTCAGTAAATGTCTGATGAAGGCAGAAATTAGCAAACACAATGAAAAACTAAAGATGCTTAAATATTTAAGAATTACTCCAGTATAGGAATAAACATATTCAATGGCATGCTTTCCTTCACTTAAGTGTAACAAAATCTTGACTATCCAGAATTCTTGGAGTACTGACTTTTTTTTAAAAAACTGCTTTTTTGCAAATAGAGTAATTTCTTCTTTTAAGCAACTAAACATTCTTATTTTAAAATTAGGTATGGCTAAACTAACTTATAAATGCAGTTTGATTTCAACCATAACCCCAAAACGATTTTTAAAAGAACTTTAAGTTAAATTTCATATTAATTTTTATATAGAAAAACAACAGGATGCTCTAGAAGAACATAAATGGTGGGATGGGGATTGAGGGTAGGGGAAATTAAGGCAGAATAGGATTTACTAGAGGCAGAGAAATATGATATTGGACAAAAGCTGTAAAACAGACCCAAGCACATGCGGGTATTTTCCTATGTGACTGACATGATAAAGCAAATGCCAATGGAAAAGGACAGCTCACTCAGTAAGTGCTATTAGTCTAAGTAGGCATCTACAGGGGGGAAAGTAACAGCCACAGCAGCATGAGTTCAATCCTCGGCCAGGGAGCTGACCCACATCGCTCAGCAGAACTCTCCTGTCTCACCCGCTGCTCCCCTCAGCAGTGTATTTCAGTGGATCTGCCTGTTCTGCTCCCCACTCTGTCTCTGGTGAATCCTCTCACACCCTGTACCTCGGGCCTACACCCCAGTTCTTGTATGCATAAAAAAAAAAAAAAAAAACCTTAAAAAAATGCAAAAGCAGAAGCCAGAAAAAAGATCTAAATATTTTGCTGTATTAAAAACTTCTGTATAATAAAAACATTATAAAAAAACAAAACGAAAGCATTTGAAACCCATGTATCTGATAAAGAATTTGAGTTCAGAATATAGAAAACATTTCTATACACCAATAAGATAAACAATAGGAAACATAAGACTAACCCAAATGAACAATAACCATAAACTAAGCTCAACTACAGTACAAATCAGTCATGCACATTTAAAGCATCAGATACAATCTCATACCTAGGAAGTGAACTAAATCAAACAACTAAAAAGAACCCAATGGAATCAAGTGTTGTTGAGCATATAAACAGAAATTCACAGATTCAAAAATTCACCAGCAACAGGTGAATGAGAATGTAAACAGTGGTTAATTTAAACGATACAGTCGAATAGTTAAATTGAGTAACAAGGGTTGACAACACAGGTTCAAGATTAAATATAATTGGCAGAAAATAGGTAAGCATTTCTCCATTTATAAGAAGACTTTAAAAGCTTATCGCTGACTGTGTGTCTGGATGTGTAGTGCAAGTAAAACACATACCTGGGAACGATCGACAATATAACTCAAAGGAGGAAAAGGAGGGGATAGATGAGGGCCCCAGACGTAACTACAATATCTTACTCGTGGGAAAATAAAAGATATTAAAGATATGGCAATATGTTAAATTGCACAAAACTCGGGCCTCCCTGGTGGTGCAACATTAACACACAACCTATGAAGCTGTCCGCAGCCTCTGCAGCACGAGTTTGATCCCCGGCCGGCCAGGGAGCAACCCACATGGCGAAGCAGACCTCTCCTGATTCGTCCACTGCTCCCTTCAGCAGTGTACCTCGGTCAATCTGCCTGTTCTGTTCCCCACTCTGTCTCTGGTAAATCCTCTCACCCCCCAGCTCTTGTATGCATAAATAAATCTTAAAAAAAAAAAAAAAAAAAGATTGCACAAAACGGAGTGGTGGGTTAAAAAAAACAATCAGGCACACTTATTTTCCTGAAAGGCATTGTGTATCTATTCTCAGAGCAAGCTAGACATTATAAAACTCTCCTGAAGGGCAAGGGGTCAACCCCGAAAATCCCAGTGATTACTGACACTGCTGGGGCATTACTCCAGAGGGCGAGCTCTCTGTGCACCAGGTCCTCCTCCTTCATGTTTCATTATCACATGCTGACCTCCAAGAGTCAATTTTACTTTGCTGCCTCTAGTCTGCAGTTGTTTGAAAACCACATAACTTGACTTTTAAGAGCTTTGCTTAAAGTAAGACTGAAAAAAATGGGTTTTAATTTGAAATGCTGGGAAAATTTCCTAGGGGAGAAGTTACCTGCAGATTTTGCAGTATCTATTTTGTTATCCAGAAACTGTCCTTCATCTCTTTTTTTCATTTTGTGCAACAAGTTGGTTATTCGATTTTTTACACTTAATTATTTTTTACTGAGGTAACAACAGTTTACAACACTGTGTAAGATTTAGGCTCACACCTCTTCAGATACACCCACCATCAAAGTACCCATAATCCTCCACCATAGGCCACTGGGCTCTCTCTACCCTTAGCTCTGCAACACCCATGGTCCCCTGTAACCTCAGTTTTGCGGTCACATTTTAGGATTTGTTTTGGTTTAGTTTTGTCTGTTCATTTGTTTTGTTTGTCGATATTTCATAAGAGTGAAATTTCCTTCTGACTTATTTCAATTAGCATAATTCCCTCCAGGTTCATCCATGTTGTTGCAAGTGACAGGATTTTATTTTTTTTTTTAATACAGCTGAGTAGTATTCCACTGTGTGTGTACCACACCTTATTCCACTCATTTGGTCTTGGGCACTTAGGTTGCTTCCATAACTTGGCTACTGTAAATAGCAGATACCTAGGGATGGAATTGCTGGGTCATACGGTAGATCTATTTTTAATATTTTGAGAAATCTCCATACTGTTTTCCATAGTATCTAGACCAATCTCATTCCACCAAAAGTGTATGAGGTTACCTTTTTTCCCCACATCCTTTCCAACATTTGCTGCTTCTGGTCTTGCTATGGGCAATTCTCATGGGAGTGAGGTGTATCTCACTATGGTTTTTATTTGCATTTCCCTGATCCTAAATGATGACAAGCTTTTTTTTCTGGCTACTATCTGTATTTAGACAATGGGAAATTGAGTGCAAAACAAGTGATGAGTTGCTACATTAACAAAAATTTCTTTATTAAAAATGTGGAATCAAAATATTCTCAAATGGATACCAAAAACATAGACACAAAGTGGAAGTATAGATTTAAGTTTGAAAAAAAGCTTAAAGATCAAATGGTTGAAAATATTTCTAGTTCTTCACAAAGAAAAAGGGAACTTAATTTTACCACTGGCATACAATTCAAGTATTCAAAATGCATTATGCAAACTGCACAATTCAAAGTAGATCTGTAAAACTAAATTCAGCATGAAAATCATCAAAATGTGAAAATAAACCAAAAGAAATACCCACGTTTAAATAATTATTTCATTCTTTCTTCTATTATTTTAATTTAGAGTGGAAAGGTGTGTTTCCACTGATGAATTAAAGAGAATTTAACGAAGCAGTTGACCTGTTAGACTGTGCTACTCTAATTTGGTATTAACACATAATTAAGTTTATTTCACTTAGAGCACTGGGCAGCCAGTTTGGGCAGGAATGGGGATGTCTTGACCAACTTAAGCAGTCCAGCCTTTGTGGTCAATGCACCCAGGATGTGTGATTAAAAACTGTAACTATTAACCAGAGACACGGGGTGGCGGGGGGAGGATCAAAACGGGGGGTTGGGGGGGGGTGGAATTGTATGGGGACTATAACCAGGATGAAAATGCATACATTGTGCAAAAACGAAAAATGATGTAAAAAATATATAACATTAAAATAATAAAAAAACTATCTTCATGAGTCAAAAAAAAAAACCAAAAAACAAACAAAAAAAAAAACCACAACTGTAAGTCACATAGTTGAATTCAGAAGAAAGCAGTACACATACCTATCCCTAACTCACTGAGGAAAAATTCAAGTCACAGACCAGAAAGCTCATTAAGATGTCATTAGAAGTCCTCACTAAATGCTAGCATAACTACTACAGTCTTACAGTCTAAAGCTTATTTTTGTTTTATTTAGTTCATCCATTTATTTGTTTTTCTCCAATTATTTCTTCTATATAGTACATGAGTGAAATCATGCGGTATTTATCCATCTCTGGCTTATTTCACTAAGCAAAATATCCTCTAGGTCCATCCATGTTGTTCAAAATGGCAGGATTTCACTTTTTTTTTTTCTCTTTTTTTGAATAGCTGAGTAGTATTCTGTTGTGTGTATATACCACATCTTCTTTATCCACTTGTCTGTCAGTGGGAACCTAGCTTGTTTCCAGCTCTCGACTATTATAAATGCTATAATAAACATGCGGGTGCATATATCCCTTCAGATTAGTGTATCTGGTGAAGGACAGAACTGGACTTCTGGTGGTGAACATAATGTAGTCCACATACATGTTGACTTATAATGATGCCCACGTGAAACTTACAGAACGCTATAATACGTTACTTCATAAAAATATCTAGGCCAGGAAAATAGCACGAGAGTTGACTGTCTCATCAATCATTCAAAAATGAATTAATGATTCTGTGATACATACAGATAAAGCTATGAAAATTAAAACTGTATCACAAGGACGATAACTTGAATAGCAAAAGGCCAGGAAATGAAACCAGTTAATTTTTCAGTAAATTAAACTCCATAACCCCTGAATTTTTAAAAGTATTCTGAGTTTAAGAAAAACAAGAGGTCAAGGAATTCATAAAACAATGTTATTCTTCCCCTTAATCAGCTAG